GCATACTGATGAGGGGTTGTCTGTGTGTGTGTGTATGTGCGTGTGTCTGTGTGTGTGTGTCTGTGTGTCTGTGCTGATTTTTCATCTCGAGACCTACAAAAGCTACGGGGCTGAAGTTTTGGGAACTAAATCTACATGCATGTACGTACTCCCATTCCCAAAATGGGCGCTCTTACCCGTGTGGTACCCACGTACAGGCTCGCCAAACTTTTCTACGGATAAGCTGCTAACTCGGAAACCAGAAAAGCTGGAAAGCTGAAATTTGAGGAAGACGTTCCCCATTCTCGTAGGTCTTAACGAGTTCAACCCCAGCCCCCGGGTATGCGTGGTACCCACGTGCGGGCCCGTGAAAGTTTTTTTCGGGTAAGTTGCTAACTCGAGGGCGAGGAAAGCTAGGAAGATGAAATTTTAAGGGGGTGTTTTCTGACAGTTTTGGCGGCCAGTCTCAATTTGTTTAGCTAGAAGCATTTGCCGAAAAATCCAATGCCGAGAGCAACAAAAACTGCGGGGAACTATGCAAAAAACGCATCTTCGCACCGGCAGTCCGCGCGTTGGCCAATTATTGCAATTTCCCCAGCGGAGAAGCTGGAGTTACGGCTGAGCCAAGTTTTGGTGGTTGCGTGAAATTGGAGGAGCGGACGTGTGGAGGGGTACAGTTGCGTTTGCTTGCTGTTTGCGTGCGTGCGTGTGTGCGATTGATTGTTGCATTGTGTGGTCGGTCACGTGGTGGTTCGGCGCGGGGACAGGTGAGTGTGCGTAGGTGCTTCGCTGTGAACGTGTGGCTTGCGCACCTCCTGGCTGTGCAGGTGATACTGACTCGTCGTTCGCCGATTCTAACTCTGTTTGAGTGTTGGCGGCTTATCGCACTGATTTCGCCTGTAGCCTCTCTGGCTACTCGCGCGCACCGTACTCCCATCTCCACTGCCCTCGTTCTGTTTCCCTTACTTTCCCTCCTTAGCCTCCTGTTCTCTTTCGGTGCCCTTGGCATCTGGTTTCAGACTGCGTCAGATTTGGTGCACTGTGGATGAGGATTGGTTCGGTCATCTTGCATGCCTCAGGCATTTGGCTTCAGTGCCTTACTGCATG